CAAATAGTCTTCAAACAGATAATTATACTCTTACGTTATAAGTTTCCATGAAAAAAATCCATGTTCAATTATGCAATTTTCGTTTTTCAAGCAAATGCATAGTAGCATTGCTACAAATGCTCCTAGATGTTAAATAAAGCAAGTTCTGGCTCACAAGAACACATAGGCATTAAGGGTAATGTGATGTTTGCTATTGCCAATATGAACCTTAATTTACTTTTAACAAGAACCTCACAATCAAAGATCATCACAACATAATTTAATTAAGCAGATCTTTTGCCATCAATTAAGATCAAGAGCAAGAAATCAGTGTGACCTTGAACTTGTGAAGGGTAAAGAGAACCATTCAGTCTTCCATCCAATCTAGCAAGAGGACGGTCAACTCTAGGCAATGCCGTTGAACCCAAATGACTTGAGGGAAAAGCACTGGAAACTCCTGGTCTTATCTCACTAGTGGGAAGCTGATATGTTGAAGATGTAGAATTTGATGGAGTACCATGACCCAAAGGGGAAGAAGATTTGAAATTTCCAGAAGCTATGTGAATTGGTTTATCTGACTGAGACATCTGAACACCGTGTGGTGTACCATAGCTTTCAGCTCCTGCACGAGAGTTCACTTGCTGACTTTGAGATGAATGTGGAGTGGATGGTAGAGAAAAATTTTCAGATTTTTCCATCTAAAATGGGATAAAAGAACTAAACATCAGCATAAAGCATAACCACAGTTTGCTAGGCAATATTAAGTCAACCGATGCAGAACAAACAAGCATAATATGAACTTCCATCCATAAAGAAATATTCTTGAAAACAAGTCAGGTAATATAACTTTTTAACTCCACTGATACTATCAACCAACCAGTCAAAACGCATACAAGAAATTAAATGAGAGCAAACAATCACAATATTTAGCATCTGTGTACTTGGCGAAATTAGTACTCCACAAAGTTTAGTCACAAACATAAAAGTGAAAAAATTCTAAAAGACAAAAGTTCTTGACCATGAGAATGTCGATATATAGGTTAACTCTATGGACAATATTATTGAACAATAATACACACAGAGATCATGACATAATATGTTTGAGAACAAAGTTTCCCTCTGTTACTAAATTAAGATCCCAATTGATACTCAACCAAGTCACTGTTCTCGTCTTTATGTTTCAAGCTGCCAATTAGACTTTTAGGGCGTGTTCGATAGAGATTAAAATCGGATTAGAATTGAAAAATTAACCGTTATTGTTGACTTTTATTAGACGAGTGAGACCCAATAACGGCTATATTTTCAATTTTAATTGGATTTTAAGTTCTACCAAACATTACTCTGTTGAAATGATTTACTGTACATTCTTTGGAGTGCATGTTTTTAATGTGTACAATTTAGTATTTCCATTATGTCATGAATTATTATATTGGTTAATGACGAGGCTTACAGGTTATGCACCTCAACTCATGGATGCAAATTAATCCGATTCAGCCATTTTAAATGCCGCATTGTAAGATGTTCCTATCTTTAAATAAAAGATTCTGTGTCTTATGTCCAAATATTGTTGTTTCTATTTATGAGTGAGACCTTCCTAATTTAGCACGATATCATTAAAAAATCATTCATAGCCACCTATACTTGATCTTAACCTCAAAACCTAGTCATTCACCCATCTTGAATCAATCACATCAAGAAACAAACTGGAACTCCTATTATAGGCACTTCATATCAATGTCAGCAAGAAGAAGCATGGAAAGTGTTAGCTCTGAATCCACGGATCTGCGAATGAAAAGGGCAAGTTTTTTTTTTTAATTCTCATCTACGAGAGTCTCAAATCCTCTATCCTTGTAGCTTCTCCAAGAAAAATTCTCTATATCTTTAAAATCATTAGAGACAGTTGGGGATCAAAATTAGAAAAAGGGGCAGACCTCAAATTTATCGGTTGCCGTATCTTTAGAAATATTTTTCTACACCATTTAGAGATACTGAACACATGGTTTACAAAAACTATTTGAGGCTTTATCCTAGAATCCCACATCACGGGAGGCTTACGCCTCAAGCATTAGCCTCAGGCCAACTGAGGTGTCCGTCCATTTGCCTTGTATTGTTCGAGCATTTAATTCTTGGCTTTAGCTTTTTGGGGTATTTTTTTATAACCTAAAATGTTTCAGATTTATTTATTTACTTTTTCTACCTACACGGAAGGAAAATGGGAAGGACAATACATCATTGCAATCAGATGGTGGTAAAGAATGAAAAGACGCTTACAATAAGGATAATGACAACGAAGTTATGATGTACGATACTCCTATGGGGCAGCATGTTCGACCGAGTCAACAGAGAATAGATATGTGACTCAGGTAAAATATTGAGTGGTCAGGCAAAAACTATGAATTAAAGCTTCCATCTGAACAATAAGGCAAAATGCAAGTTACATCATGTGAAAATTTTGAAAAGAGGCCAAGAAATCCCTAGCTTGTCCAAATTCAAATTTAGATGAAATTCGTTCCTTTCCTAAGCAGTGGTGGAGCCAAAACTTCAATTCAGATATTTTAAACAATGCAATTACATAAAAATGTTAAAAATCTTTTTATCTCTTCATAACTTCCACTATCCAACAGACCAAAGTCACTTTATTTAGACAAATGATATAGATTTAAACGATTTTCGTCATCACAAATTATACTGAAAGTTTGATGATTAAAATTGCCATGGAGACAATAGATGAAAACAAACTGTGCAATTTTCCCAATTATTACTTTTCACTCCTTTTTCTTCTTAACGCTTTCTTCCGCAGCCATTTTTGCAAAAAGAAAAATGTGAAATATTCAAATAACACACCATATTCATATTCATATTCATATTCCATCAAACAGTGTCCTGTCTAATGAATTTGATAACAATATTCTTAACTCATTCTTCACTGCACAATAAAAAAAAAATCACCAATTACAGTAATTAACACAAATTCAACAGCCTGGGTTAGCAATTCAAAATTAGAATAAACAGGAAAAAAAATTTGAAAGGATAAAACCTTTCTTTTAGAGATCAACAACTTCTCAGCAATTGACAATTTGGGAGGTCGAAAACCTAGACTTTGTTCCTTCAATTTATTAAGCCCCAAATCCTCAATCAAACCCGCAAAAGCATCCCTGGGAAACACATCCTTAGGGGCATACCCCTCACAAACCTTCACCAACCTTTCCCGGGCCTCCTTCATCAAGTCCTTCTCGGCCTCTGTCGCTCCCCTCCCTCCCCTCATCTTCCCCATAGCCGCCAACACCAACACCATCTCCGCCACCTTCTTTACATTCACAACCAAATCCCCACCCCGTCTAATCCTCTTAGCTTCTTTCAGCACTTCTCCATCCTCTTGCACCGGTCTCTTTTCACCCACGCCCTCCAATCCTACTCCAGATTCAATCCCCACCGTCGACTCCATCTAACACAAAATCCTACTTCACAATTACCTCTAAACCTCCATGGAAAGCACCGCTTCGGTAACGAAATCCTTCGCGACCTGCAGAGAAGAGAGACGAGTAAAGCCATAAGACGGGGAAGAGAGAAGGAAACCCTAGAGAGAGGGAGAAGAAGAGTGGGGGAATTTTTGGGGAAAATTAAAATTTGGAATCGTTAAAAAAATCTTAAAAATAAACCTTTTTTGGCGGTTAATTGACATACAAAGCTTAGTGTAAATCTTATAAGTGAGAGCTTTGGGCAAAAAGACTTGAGCAGGGACGAGGAGCGAGAGAGAAAAGAGAGAAATATTAGTGCATAATATTTTCGTATTTTCTTCTGTTAGTATTTTTATATAGGATTAGTACGAGGGTTGCACGGTGTCGGCCGTGCTACTTTCTTCTCATTTTTACACGTTTGCCCTGGGCTATTTGTAGGATAATTTCATTTGCGATCACTGTACTTTGACTCAATTGTCAATTAGATCACTATATTTTAATTCAATTGAGTCCTTTTAATTTCATCTCACTTATTAATAGAATTAAGCTACTAAAACAGGAATTTTTGACAGGGAAAGTTGACATAGCTGATGTGGCGAACCGTGATTCATCCGTTTTTTTTTTTAAATTTCTATTTTCCAATGAATGCACGTTAAGCGCTCATTGTCAACATTTCCTGTCACAATTCCCTGCTTGAGTAGCGTGATTGGGAAATACGGTAACCTAATTGACAATTGAACCAACTTTTTTTTTGAAAGGTAATCAATTATTTTATTAATTAATACGTAATACACAGGAAGTGTATTATCAATTTAAAACAGAATGTAATAATATGAAATTAGACAGTCTATCTATATGCCTAGTAGCTGCAGCATTAAACCAATATACAATGTCAAATAAAACAATTTCCTAATTTACTCTGTTGTTCGTGCTTGGTCTTTAAAAAATTGATTAAAAAAAATTGTGAATCCCATAAAATATTCGATTAAAATGAATTTAAAAAGAAAATATGAGTTTTAAAAAATGAGAGCCAAACATGAGTAATTGTTATTGATTTAAAGGCTTAATCATTCAGGAACTAGTCGATCAGATCCAGAGTAACAAAACTCGAACTTTTGATACCTATTTTTTAGTTAAACTGAGTTGTCTAAAAAACATGATAAAGAACGACAAATAAGATTTATATATATTTATATTATCGATCTTTGCTTACAAATTGTAGTGAAATCTCAGACGAGTCAAAGTGAAAGTGTGGACCTACACAATATTTGGCTATTTATACATTAAAACTGCAAGCTACAAATGGGTTGATTACACAATAACTACTCTACAGTCTACCCTACACACAAACACAATACATGTACAACATATTACAGAAGGCTACACCCCACAATCCTGGCAATTCATCCATGAACGTGTATTTCTATCGGAAGGTAAGGAGAACATGTCACAAACAAGACTGTCAATGACTCGAGTTCTTGAATTCTGCAAAGGTAACAGTCTTGAGGATATTCCCCGAGTCTTGAGATTGGAACTAATTTTCAGGCTAAAAATAGAACAGGATTAACGGATGTAGAACTGTTCGGTAGATGCCAAATCACTACAGATGAAAATCCAAGAATCTGAGCAGAAGATTTGAGCATTTTGAAGCTTATAACCATGGAAAGAAGGCAAGGGAAATCCTTTCCAGAGCTGTAAATTTATATATGGCACGATTACAGTCTTCAGCATAGTGGACATCACTGTCTGCAAAGATTATTCGGTCTCAGCAAGTTGTGTAATAAACATACAAAGAATGACATTTATGAACACCGACCCGTGGCAGGTAGTCAAAAACGAGGAAAAAAATATATGAGAACTCGTTAGATTGAAAAAACTCCCTTCAGAAAATATCTTTTAGCTTGTTGCTGCTGTTATCATTTTTACAAGGGTAAGGTAGGGCTGTTAGAGGCATCCAGCAGGACTGTAGACGCTGAATGGTTTCTTAGGCAAAAAGTGAAAACTGGGGAAGAATATCTTTAAGTTGAAATAACAGACGTATCATGGAATATTCATCAAGCTATCTTTCTCCAATGTTGTCACAGAGAGAGAAAAAAAATGAGATTTTGTTGTTAGAAGGATTAAAAATGAGTTAGCTTAAAATCTTACAAGTAAATAAGGTAGTTTTCAAACAATAATTTTTTACTACTCGAAATCGAAAATAAAAGTAACTCTCACTTCTTCTAAGCTTAGCCAAACATGCTCTTAATCTTCACATAAAATGACGTCAAACAAAAGAGGCCAAAATTCGGAATCGACCCCTGATGCTGAATTCAGATGTCGGTGTGAAGCCAAGTTTTAGAATTCGTCAAAAAAAGGACTACAGTCTTGGACGCCACCAAGTTTGCAACATAATGATACATTATACCATGCATTCACGAATCCAGATTACAAAGTCGGGAATTTAATGCATTAGCCCTCACTTCCTATGTAGTTACTCTTTATATTTCTGCAAATGTAGGCCATTAAATACGGGCTCCACCATAAGTAAATGAAGAGAGGCATGGTTTCTATAAAACCCAGAATCACGCTTGTACCTTTCTTAATCCCCGACGGTCTAATAACTGACTTATATGCTACGAATATGAGGATCAAATTTATCCACTGAAATTAAAAGATCAAACCAGGATACCTTGACTAGGTGCACGTGCAAGTCCCCAATTTCGCTCCACTTGAGAGACATGGTGAAGTCATTTAACTTTACGCTTCCTGTAAGACTATTCTCTGAAATTTCGGCAAATATTGAAGAACTGATGGACTGCAACAAACAAAACGTGTCATTTCCATCCTAATAACATGGATCAAGTTCATAAAAGTTAACAAGCAATTGATAAATAAATCACAAAATTTAATTGACAAAGCAGGCAAGGTCAAAATGATATCAACTAAAATAACTCCTTAAAATAGGATACCATCAATTACCAATAAAAAGGATTTATGAATTCAAAGTATTTCTGCCACCGAATAAATCATCTAAAAAACTTTGACAATGTCTAACAAGCCTGAAGATGTCCCAGTTCGACATTTTTCTCCTTTCCATTAAACAAATGCAGACAGATCTTCAACTAGAAGGATACAAGATCTGAGGTGCTGTATTTACCAACTTATGACCCTATAAAAGTTCGATTAAAGTTCAATAAATGACAGCATTACATCCAAAAGCAACCCGAAATTTTAATATTTGACTGTTTCTCATCAAAAAATAATTCAAAGGACAAACTAAATACCCACAGTTGGAACAATGAAGGAGACAAGTATAACAAGAGACTCATACTTGATAGCCTGATAGAAAAAGAAAATTAACAGTTGTTTCAGTAGGCTTACCATCGAAATGCATGCAACTGGGATTACTTTGTCTGCATCTAAAACATCAATCACCATATCTAAGGGAATTATTGTATCAATCTGCTGCTTTCCAATTTCTATGATTGGTGGCGAAGACACAGAAATATTCAGATTAATGTTGTCGTTTGGATACAGCTTGTACAACCGAGGAAAAAAAAACCTCCACTCAGCTGTGTTCAAGAGAGATTGATCTGGTACTTTGTCAACGATCCAATACATCTTACCAGCCTGAAAGAAAAGCTAACTGTTATCTAGCTAACAGATGAGACAATTCCACTATAACCTAAGCAAACGCCAAAGTAAGTCTGTAGTTGAACAATTCCCGTAAGGCAGGCAGCAATATCAATATGTTAAAAATTAGCATCAACTGAATAAATATGGATCGGATATCAGTATCAATCACCTTTTGTTATAACTTTTACCATACCATATATCCACTACTACATGTGCATGGAGGAGAAAGGGCCAGCACCACTTAGTTTGCTTTATCTGAATCATTTCTACCATTTAATCTATTGCTGGAAAAGCTAATCAGTCCAATAAAAAAAATACTGTTTTCAATTAAATTTCAATTAGGCTTGGTCTTTCTGTAAAATTACTTTGCAAGTCTTACCATTTCTCACATAAACGACTGTCTTAACTTGTCTACCCATTTTCAGGAATATGATCGGTATGTTCAATCTTCAACTGACTGATTAGATAAAAGAAATTAAAAGCTTACTTCAAAGTAAACTGATGATGCTGACTTAAGAACATCTTCATGCAATGAAATCCTGACCATTTTATCCGCTATCTTGCAGGAAGATGAAGCCCCTAACATTCTGTGGTACTGGTTGGAAACCACAACTTCATTTTTGGCGGAAAATAAACCATTGATTTCAAGGTCTAGCTCTGGTTCTGTCAACTTCAGGTCATCAATAAATGTAATATTCAAAGCAGCAATATCAGTTATTGGCACTTCTTTAGGAAGAGATTCCAATAAAGAGTCGAGATTTGCAATTCCATCTTTCATTTTCTCAGACACAGCATCTTCAACTGCAGAACTAATTTTACCCTCAAAAGCGTTAACAACCCTGGAAAATAGGAAAAGGGAAATTAATCCAAAATGTTGTTATATTCAAACTTCCATGAGTGCAAGAGAAGAAATAATAACATAGAAACCCTAATAAGACAAAAAGGAAAGAGAGAACAGGTTAAATATACAATTCTATAAGATCTATATAGACAAGAGAACATCAAGATAGATGTTTATCTAGAAAATTGACAGTCCTCTACCAGACAGTTCTTTTCAGGAAGAATGCATTAAATATGTCCCAATATTTTTAAGAAAGTTGAAAAGAAATCCCTTCGGTGATAAGGGAGTATAATCATAAATGTACGATACAGTATGATTAAATATGTGATATGACACCTGATGCGAGATAAAATCATGCCTAGATTGGATAACGTGTGAAGAAGAAATGCAAGTATCCTGTCATCATTATGCATATACACATTTAGTACACAAATATCTCACCATTATAATGGGCAAACAGTTTAATGTATTATAATTAACAGGCAAGAACTCTCCAATGTCCATAAAGCAAAAACCTAAGGTAAGAGAGAGAGATGCCACTTCACATTTGTTCTGGATCAAAATATGAGACCACATCATCAGGCTATTGAGGAATATATATATTATTCCTGAAAAAAGGGGGAAAAAAGCATAAAAACAATACCCTTGATAGAGCCATGATGCTCCACCGTCCAAATCTATAGAGAGAGATTTGACATAGCTTCCACATTCCAAAAGAGACAGTTTAAGAGATCCTTGTACAGTTTTCAGACTGAGGGTCAGACCGATTTCCATACCGTCAACCTTAAACAAAGCAAAAATCAGCAACTTTGTGTCGGTGAGGAGATTAACTCAAGATGAATTTGTGAATTTAATAGAGAATAACATAATTGGCAGGATCCAAGGATTCCATTACTAACCCAACATGCATAACTCACTTCTCCAATAAACAGAGATATTACAAACTTATGAATGAAACTAAGAGGGATAAGGCCATAATTCAAGCAAGTCGCTTCTACATTCATAGAGTCTAGAGAATCTCTAGCCGGTTATAGAAACTTCTTCGCGAATTACACTACCTTTCCTCTCCCTTTGCCCCATAAACGCATTGTGATTGCACAAATATAGATATATCCATCACCATCAAAAAAAATAAAATTAAAAATAACTGTAAGGCTGAATGGAGTACATTGACCAAAACAATAATTGCACCCCTAATTAAGCTGATCTTTAATAACCATAGCCTACATACCAAATGAGGCAATCTCAGTGAAATTCAACTTTTCATGCACCAGAATCACATGGAAAGTATTGGCTTCTCTAAGTTAATATCCAATTGATTCGAACTTTTACTTCAAAAACCCCTTTCATAATAGCAATCAGAAGAAGTTACTTGCTTATCATAGATACAACAATAAACTACAAAACAAGCTGACTGAGATTCTACATAACAAATTAAACCCTACAAGAGTCTTCACATTCAACGAAGCATACCTCAACATTGGCACTTCCTTCATCCGAAATGGTAATGGGAAGTAACCAAGTGCTGTATGAGTACTTCCAATTCATACTCAAATTCGCAGAGGCCCCATTAACAGCTATAACAATTCCAGTATCTCCAGTTTTCGCAGTAGAGTTTGTTACATGGATCCTTTCAATGGTAATATTCGAAAGAACTATCTTGACTTTACCTACAACCGGGATTTTCACAGACTTTTCAATATTGGACAGCTCCAGTGGAACGAATGAAGACTCTGCTTCTTCTATTAACAAATCCTTGAGAAAATCGAGACCCTTGTTGGATATCTCTACTTTAATGTGACCTTCTTCATCAGATTGAACAAGGGCATGGGAAAAAGTCAAAAAGAACAATAACCCAAGAAAGATATTTGCACATGCCATGAAAAATCCGAGGAAAGAAAATTAAAACAACCGACCCAGATAGAAAATGGGATTTTAACTAAATTGGAGTGGTGGTGTAATATAATTTTAGTAATCGAGTACTGAACGGATGTGGTATGGACAATAAATTCTTGGATTTTCTCCTCCTTTTGCGTGGAGTTCGAGAAATGGAAGTAACGTGTGGGAAATGATTAGGTGAATCATTCCTCCGTTGGCACGTGCATCGTCACACAATTTTTTTTAATGAATATACATTACCGAAATTATCGTGTTTATATACATAATAGGGGTGATAAATATGTTTAGCTGTTCGTCATCTCGGATAGGATTCAACCCGTACTCAATTTTGAGATGAACCATGGCCGTGCAAAGCTCAATTTTTTCCACGAGGTTACTTGTATTGAGATCGTGGATTGGTTCCTTTTTAAGCATATTTTATTGGTTTTTTTTTTTCTAAAGTGCTTGTTTGGACTTATTTTGTCAATGTCTTAAAAAAATAAAAATGAATTGGTTCGTAGATGGCTCCACTTTGCCCATGAGGCTCACAAGCCAAAGGATCGAGCTCATCTGAGCATAGACTTTGTACACGAGCACAGTCAACTCGGTCCATTGTCCTTTTAAAAATAGTAATGAGGGTGTGTTTGATCCACATTATTTTGGAATAATGTATTCTGAAATAGTAGATTGATGGAGAATTAGTTGTTGAAAAAGAAGGAAAAGTTATTGATGTGATGGAAAATATTATTTTATTGAATAATGTGTGGTTGAAAATGAGTAAATGAATGAGAATGAAAATTTTAATATATACCAAACAGTGGCTAAATAAATTAATGAATATATAATTAAAACCCTGTCTGCCATAACTTTTCAGCAAATTTAAATTGATTTTTGAACCGTTGCCAGCCTTTTTAGTTGACTTTGCCTCTCACATGTGGGCTCCACTTGGCATCTTAACGGTCAAAACATGACTACTAATCCCTTGAAAAATCTGCACCAGACAAGCACTAAATTTTATACTTGATATTGATTTTTTAAAATAAAAGGTCTTCGATTAGGTAAACGAGCTTAGATTACTTCAACTTTAATTCTTTAAGAATCATGCTATAGTGAATATTCTCACACAATGGTTTCATCAAATTTTATATTTGATATTATGCTTGTGTTTGAATATCATTTTAATGATAACGGAATTTATGAAAGAGTGATTGATGAGAGAATGTGTGGTGAAAAAATGATGAAAAGTTTTAGATTTGTGTGTAATATTATTTTATTTGGAGAATGTGTGGTTGAAATAAATAAAGAGGAAAAAAATAAGAATGAGTGTAAGGACAAAAACCTCAAACGGAAGCATAAACAAGATTCACAAAGAATTCTGAATACATCAAGAAATTGATCATTTATTCAAGATAGGGCACAGAATATACATTGCACCCTTTGTACATTGAAACAGCCAACAGAAAATACCAAAACCCTTAATCTATTCACCACAATGGTTACTCAATGGACCGAAGGAAACACAAGGTCAAACTAACCCTAAAACTCTCTCTCAAACAACCACGAAGGCACCAACCACACAGATTGAAGATTAAAACCGGAGGTTTAAATCTATACACAAAGTATCACTAAGAAACGAGAAGAGAGAACACGAAGAACATCAAGGACAAAAAGACTCAGAAGCTCTCACACACGAAGGAGAGAAAACAAGTGAAAAACGATCTGCCCCAAATGACGCTTCAGCAGGTATATATAATATCAAGCATCAGTCGTTAGATCAACCAAGGAATCAACGGTCCAGAGCAACTACAAGTGGGAATAGATTTGGGCTGGGTTTTGGGCCAGTCTCTTTGCATTATCGGACAATGGCTTTAGTTCCAAAACGTTCCAGCAGTTGGGCTTAGCCCATTTCATCATTGCCCAAAGTGTTAGAAGTAAATGTTACAAATGACATCAAATTCCAACAATGAGAATGAGAAAAAAAGGTGTCAAACAGGGGATATGTAATTCATTATTTACATTTTTTAAATCAATAATGATATTAGTCACCCCACACGATATACAGATGACAAATTATTACTTAATACATGAAAAAATAAAAAATTATCACATTAATATATCAAATAACAAATTGTCACGTGAATGTCTCGTCTACCGTTAATCTCCTATTCGTAGCACTACTTTCCAAAATCCCATTCAGAAGGAACGGTAAAACCGTCCAAGAGTATAATATATTTGATTTATGGTCTGTTTGATTGTAAGGGTGGAAAATATGTGGAAAAAAAGAATTCCAAGAAAAGTAATTGTCCATAAAATGTTTTACAGGGAACTGTCAATTAAGGGTCAGTCTGTTTCTGCTTTTCAGCAGAATTCAAGCCGTTGCTAGCCGCAAATTTGGACTAATTCTCTTACAGTGAGGCTGTTGCTTTGAAAAAAGGGTAAAATAATCAATTGTTTGGTAAAAAAAGATCACGCCCAAACAGCCCCTAAGTGTGTTTGATTGTTATAATTTTACATCCGGGAAATTTTTAAATTTTGTGTTTGTTTGGCTTTGTTTCATATGAAAATTGTCCATTAAAGTGATAATTCTTTCCATAATTGGTTATAAAATTTGTTTCTATTGCAAAAAAAAAAAAAAACGAAAAAAGAATATTTCCTAAAAAATCATTTTTTTAATCAAAGTTTAGTATTCGTTTGACTTTGTTTTATACGAAAATTGTCCATTAAAGTGAAATTATTTTATTACAACGGATTATGAAAATTGTTTTAATTGCAAAAAAAAAAAAAAAAAAATGGACGTCAAATTGGAAAATTGGTGGGAAAGCATTTTCCCTAAATCAAAGAAAAGGGGCGCGTGGGAAAAGGGGAGGAGAGGGAAAAAAATTTCTTGGCCAAATTTGTGCAATCAAACACCACATTTTTGACAAAGTTGAAAATTATTTTTCTTTCTCCTAGGAAAACATGGTCCATCAAACATGGCCTCGGAGTAATAATATATAGTCCCACTGGAGTTACTAGATGACTTTAAATAATAGAGACATTTCATTTAATATCACGTTGATACCATAGTCCGTGGGCTAAATAGCATTATACTTTGATTTAAGGTCCGAACGCCAGTTGTGACAGTATGGCTGGACAAACCGGTGGCCGCCGTGTGTCGCCTCCCCACTTTTAAAATCACCCATTATTCGCTCATGCCTCTCATCGTTGAATTTATTCAGTTCAGGCATTCAGATAAAAAAGGTACAACAAAAGTTCCTCATTTTCCATACCTTTGAGGCAATTACAACTTTATTTCAGCTTATGTAATTTAATGATGAAAGTTAAATATACGATCACTCGTAGTTCAGCTTTGTTTTTGGTAATTACAACTCAATTTTCGGTTTTCCTGTATGTTCTCTAATTTGAATTTCAGAATTACTTGATCAGATTGTATGTTTTTCTTCAATTTTAATATTGTTTGAATACAATTTTTGAGTTATTTACTCAAATGCTTGTTTTTCATGTTTGGAGTGTTTTCAGAATTTTCACCGAAAAGTTTATCATTGTTCTCGAAAATGGATTTTCAGAAATGTCAAACAAAACACGATTTTAGTGTTCTGTTAAACTGAAAACAGCTTGAAATCCATTTGTAAAAAATCGTAGATGATCAGAAAGTTTGTTTATTGCTTTCAGTCCATTTGATAATGGTGGAAGCAGTGGGTAAAGCTTGTGTAAAAGGTGATTTAATACTGTTAGTGTGAAATTCAGTTTTCATTTTTAATTCCATTTTGCTTCTCTTGTTTGCAATCGTTTGTGTTTACAATATTTAAATTTCTTCTGCAAATTGCAAAATTGGGCGTTGATGCCTTCCTGCTTATGTTATGAATATTGTGATAGTTACAGTTACGGGACCTTAGAGCCTGCTTGATTCTCATTGATTGGGGGAAAAAAAGAGTTTTGAATAATATTTTTAGGATAATATGTGATTAAAAAGATAGAATTTTTTTTGATATAGGTATAGAATATTTTATTTTGTGAAGGTGTGGTCGAAAATAATCCTGTAGTAAATTATAAAATAAATTAATGGGTGCCAAACAAGTACTTAATAATGTCTATGTATTTGATGGATGATATCATGTGTCGATTTGAATAAAAAATGCAATTTCCAGTCGGTTATTGATTCAATTATTTTCTTTAGTTGCTCTTTTAGTAATAAACTATATTTATTACCTGATAAAAGTGACTCAATTTTTGAAAACCCTGTTATCATATGTCAGACGAATGGCGGATTCCGGAGACCCGTGGGTGAGGGAGTACAATGAAGAAGTTAAACTAGCTGATGATATCTGTAAAATGATATCTGAAAGGAGTTCATTTCCGGCAACAAGGCCGGAAGCACAGCAACATTCTTCTGACATACGGAGTAAAATTACCATACTGGGAACTAGACTGGATAACCTGCAGGCTCTTTTGTCTAATCTTCCTACAAAGCAGCCTCTGTAAGTTATCCTAACTGATCAGCCTCTTGAGTAAAAATTCACATTAACTTGTTATATTAGATTGTAATGATCATGTAGCTATGTAATCCATCTTCACTGTTTCATATTGCCCGAGCATATTCTAAGTATGGTTCCCTCTGCTTCTCCTCTCTCCACCTTGCCACTATCTATTTGACTCTTTACTTCTTCTCTGTGCTTTCATCGAACATGCTTGAATATATATATTCTTTTATATTAAGACCTTTAATGATGACCAAGATAATCTGTTATTGAGACCGTGATTGGACTTAATTAGTTTTGTGCTGGAGTGATTCTTAAGGTTCTCATTGTTTTTTACTGATTGCTATCTAATTGTGTATTTATGAGTTGAAATTCCGTTCATCTTTACTTTTTAGAGCATTCTCCTTTTGCATAAGTTTCTACTGTAATATGGGTATTAATATACTTTGAGTTGATAGCTCACAAGTAGACACTTGAAAACTTTCCTTATTCATTTTTCATGTTTTATCTAGTATGATCTTCTTGATATGTTGTGTATCTAGTATTACAATGAATGTGAGTACATAATGATTATTTTCTGCAAGTTGAAAGGGAAAAACAATTAAAGAAGAAGAAAGAAACTTCTGCACCCGATACCCTTTATCAATTGGCAAGTGACTTTGTGAACCTGACACTTGGTCCTTTGTTTTTATGACGATTCCATGGTACTGTAACATTATGTAAGGTTTGGTTTGCTGAATTTATGAACCCAATTGAATAAGCGAGTCCAATATTGAAGCCCAATACCCAATCCGGCCCAGCTAATGGAAAGCTCCAGAATTCTGTTTGTTTGTTTTATCAAAACACGTTTTTGATTGGATGGCTAACACTTGGACAAATGCTGACTGTTGGATCAAGANGGCTAACACTTGGACAAATGCTGACTGTTGGATCAAGACTTTTTGGCTATCTCATATAAATAGAAGGGTTGACTCTTTGGCTTATGATTCGTTCATTTTGAAACCCTAGTTCTTTTGCTCTCTCGACTGCGTTCTTTACTTTAGTGTTCAATCTGTAAAGATTGTGTGAAATTCCTGAGTGATTTTCATATAGAAAGATAGAGAGAGTTTGGTTAATCTCTTGGTGAGATTTTGCTGTAATTTTGAGGGTTTTGGTTTGTATTCTTGAGTTCGAACATTCTTGTTGTTCTGTAACTCTATTTTGCCTGATTTGGGCTGTTCTAATGGATTCGAGCTACATCCTAACGGATGCTTAAAGGGAGATTAGACGTTAGAAGTGGTCGTCGAACCTCGGGGCCTATGGGCTGAAAAATCTTGTGATGATCTTGTTATGTTAATAGAAGTGGTCGTCGAACCTCCGGGTCCTTGGGTCGAAAATTCCTCGTGTTTCTTTACTTTTCTGTATTTACTTTGTGTATTTTGGTTTATTATGGTTGAATCACAAGTTAAATCGTAATATCTGGGACCAACAGTGGCATCAGAGCTTTCTTGGAAATTTTTCTTTCAAGCGATTTTTCTTTGTGACTCTTCCAGGCTTGAAAATTTTAGATCAAACAGTCTCTTTGTTGTTCTACAGTGAGAAAGATCCTTCGATTGAAATCCTGTTTCGTTTTTGATATTTCTTGATTATTTCACTCATTCTTGCAGCTCTGGTAACCCTTTCTCAAACCTCAGTCATAGTTTTTTTTATAACCTTTAGTTTCTCAAGCTACCAATTTAGGGATTTACTGAAAACCTCCTTGATTTACCTTTTCCTAGGGTTCCTTGAGAGACCCCTAAAATCTGAGGGAATTAGGGTACGGTTTAAGAAATCCATTTAGGTTTCTTGATTAGCATATTGTACATATACTTGGTGTACATTACGGTTTTTGATTTCTTGAATTGATAATCATAAATTGCTATTGAGCTACTGTGAATTTTTGATCTGTAATGTAATTCTCACTCAGTGTATATACTTAGTGTATATATATCCGCCTGTATATCGTAAATTTGCTTATTGCTGTTTACTGTGTGTAGACACTCTGGCTGTGTACCTTTATTGGATATATTCCACTGTGAGTGATCTTTTCAAACTAAAACAATTCGTTGTTTCTTGCCTGTCTTCCTTGCTGAACACTATTGGGATGGCAAAATTGGGATGGCAAAGGAGACTTTAAGTCTGGAGCCAGAAAATGAAGGCCCTTTTGATGACACTTAAATGTGTTAAAACTTTTGATGAATCTTGGCCTGAAACCTTATCTGATGTTAGGAAGGGTGAACAAGATGAATTAGCTTGTAGTACTTTGTTTCTTCATTTATCTGATTCTGTTATTAGAAAAATATGAGACATAGAAACTGCTGCTGAGCTATGGGCAGCTTTACAGAAGCTGTATGTTTCTAAATCCTTACCTAATAAATGTTTTCTTTGAAAACAGTTCTTGAGTCATAAGTTTGACCCTATTGCTGACTTAAGAAGATAACATGTATAGGTTTAATAAGATCACTCAGGACCTTATTAGTTGTGGGGAAAAGAAATCTGATGATCTAAAGGTAGTTGGTCTACTTAATGCACTTAGTGATAAGTATAAGGATGTTAAAAATGCTTTAGAATATGGTAGGAGTGATTTAACTGTTGACATAATCCACAATTC